TATTTGTAATTTTTTTCTAATCATTTATTGATCATTGAATGAAAATGTTTTCTTTTGTTTTCATTATGTGGCCAATTTTATTACTTTTTAAAGCAAAGATGCTGTGTCTAGCGGGTAAACACTAGGTTGAAATTATTAAAACATTAACTTCAGCCTGGTTCTATGATTAAACTCCTATGTAGTAACTTGTTTTAAAAAGTAAAATTAGGATACAGAGTGGATAAAAATCAAGCAAACATCAATTTAAATAAAGAAGGAGAAATGAATGAACATTTGTTGTCTATTTGTGGTATCAAGGGGTGATGGGTATCAGAGGTGGCTGTCAAAACCAACTATGGTTGGCTGTTTCCATTTCTTCACAAAGCCCCTCTGGTTACAAAGTCCTTCAAAAATTAAGATTGTTTGTATACATTGATTTAATTCAGAGGTTCTCAATATTAAAACCACCTAGGGAGCTTTAAAACAAGGATACACGAACAAAAACTTAACGGGCTTGGGCGCCACTTGTCCAACTTCTTCCAGAAATTCAGATTCCAGTGGTCTGCATCTGGATTTTTAAAACCTTCTAGTGTGATTCTAACCTGCAGCTGGCACTGAGAATCTCTGATTTAATTAATGTGGAAATTGTTTTTGTATCTCTTTACTTTCACTTCACCAGCACAGGTTCTGTATAGACACATCACTAATGTGAATGCTTTCAATTCAAGAACTGAACATTGAATTTAAGAACTAGACTATTTTGTGAGAGATGTGATCAAATAGCTTCTAGACTAAGTGAGTCTATTAATACTTTCCAAATTAGCTGTACCACAGCTCCTTTGATACAGAGCCTCCATTTTTTTCTCGATTTTTGGGTTTTTTTTTCATGTGACACAAAAAATGGAACTGTTAAATATTGATGGCATTTATCAACTCTGAGCTAGATACTTTTAATAATATCTAGCATAATGCTCTCATTTTATGAAAGAAAAAAGAGAGGCCCGGAGAGGTAAGATAATTGCCCAAAGTTACACAGCTAATTTGTAGCAAAGCTGAGGTCTAAAACTTAGTAGCTCTGACTCCAGTGCTACAGTCAACCATGTTGCTCCCTGTGTATAGGGAGCCATTTATGTTCAGAAGAGATTGAATGAACCTCTAATTACTATTACTTTATGGACATACAAACTGACATGTAGTCACTTTGATTCCTTTAAAACTCAGATGCCTCAGAGATATGGGCAGATATACTGTTATAATCCTTTTTATTCAAGTTATAATGAAAATACATTAAAATTTTACTGAGCCATATCCCTTACTCAGGTAGAATTAACTCTCTTCCCTTTGTGCCTTCATTATGCTTTGTACTGATTTATTTCATAGCATCTATAACTCTTCAGTGCACTTAATGGTTTTCAAGGCTATCTTT